AAACTGGTGAAGGAGGATGCTTTCAAACCGGTCATATTAAAGGCTACGTTTGTTCACCCTTTCTACCTAGTTCAAAAAAGATAAATTCGGATCTGGTTAGCATAATTTTTTTTAAAATCAACTAAAACTTACAATCTCACAGTACAGATAATATCAGTTCAGTTTTAGATCAGATTAGACAGAGGTTAAGTCCTCAGGTGCACTGAGAGGCCAGATCACCGCCTTTTCAGGCCAACAAGACAACATTCATGTCATATGCTTCTGATCACACTGATAGTCATAATTTTTTTTCCTCGAGGAAGTCCTGCATCTATTTTTCTGTTGTTTATTCAAAATGTTGTTTTTGTGATTGCAGGGTAAAGCTCAAGGTTTTGTTGCCGGTGTTCAATCCATTGCAAGTTTATTATCACCACTTGTTATGAGCCCATTAACTTGTAAGTCATTATCATTAAATGTCAAACATATGAACTTCAATTCACTTTAAATAGAAATGTTTCCGACTTCTCCATCATTCTCCTTGCAGCATGGTTCTTGTCTGAAGATGCTCCGTTTAACTGCAAAGGTTTTAGTATTATATGTTCATCAGTATCCTTGGTACAAACCCTTCTTTTCCCTTCTTACTTATTTTCTCCTTGTTGATTTTCTTTCCTCGATCCTCCTAACTGGCAACTGTCACCCGAAACTCTGTTATTTTGCTAACATTTACTTGTATATTACAGATGGTTGCTCTGGTGATCGCCTTGGGATCACGATTTGAATCACAGTCTGAGCTCGAGCAAAAGGATGACTTAGCTAACATTGAATCGCCGCTTCTATCTTGAGGCTTCCTTATTCTTAGTTTTAGGAATCCCTATTATGCATATATAATTATTGTACAAGTTTGAGGTTGTTTTTATGACAATGTAGAATATGTAGATATATGCATTGAGTTGCAAAATTGCATGCAATGTCATTTAGGAGTTGTTTTAGGTCACATTTTAGTTTAATTTTTATTGTAAGCAAAATTGTAGTTATCAGAGAACAAATAAGCTAAAGTATTCCATGGAAGAATTCTAATCGAGGAATAACTTTGGCAATAATATATTCCATAAGATTTTCTTGTACAATCTTTCATTTTTGTTTCTCTTTTACCAAGTATCTCTCTATTTCATGAATGTCTTCCCAATTTTCATTTTAGGTTGTTTTTATGAAATTCTTCCTAGTTGTACTTTATTCCATACTACATTAGTGTTAACCTAACTTAGTCTACTTTTTAGACATTTTTCTAACTCCACATTCTCTCTCTTCATAGAGGAATCACATATACACATATATACATATACCATTGCCTTGTACAATTGTATTTTATTATGTATCACTACAATGGTTTATGAGATTTTGAGGGTGGTGTTGGGCATACTATGAAATATTGTATGACAAACACCATGGTCTTGTTTGACAATTGGCAATTGGTCGTTGGCTGCTGGCTGTTTAATTTAGCTTGTTTGACTGGTTGTTAGTATTGGCTGTTTGACCATTTGTTGAATGTATATATTTTTGGTTAAAACAATTGTTGGATGTAACTATGCAAAATGACCTTAAAGGACACTATTATTATGTTCTTATTCATTTATTATTAATTACTAGTTACTAATTTTTAATTATTAATTACTAATGCAATACTAACTATTATTACTTTATATTATTAATTACTGATTGATAATTACTACGGAGTAACTGTTAATTATTAAGTCTACTCCGCAATTACTAACTATTACTTAATAAGTACTAATACTTACTCCCTCCGTCCCCAAACTTGGACCCTTTTAACCTAATTTTAGTCCCAAAATGATCGACCCATTTGCATTAAAATACTAATCAATTTACAACAATATTTGTGCAAAATTAGCTTTCACATAGAAAATTTTGTTTTTTCATGTATTTTTAATACTTTGTCTCTCTACTTATTTTATAAGCCCCATGTAAATTTATCTTTCAATATGTTTTTATTTCTTTTTATTTAAGTTTCTTAATAACCACAAAATCAACCTAAAAGGGTCGAAGTTTTGAGGACAAAAGAAGTGAGTAATGATTAATTACTAATTATTCATTATTAATTATTAACTACTAATTATTTATTACTAATTATAATTACTAATTATTAATTACTAATTATTAATTACAAATTATTTATTATTAACTATTTATTACAATATTAATTGATTATTAATTACTACTCCGTAATTACTAATTATTGCTTATTAATTATTACGGAGTATATGATAATTAATAATTATTATACAATAATTATTACTCTCTCCATTCTTTTATTAGAGTCCACTATTTCTTTTTTGTCAAATTAAAATTACTAGAGTTAGAATTTTTTCCTTTTTCGTACTCCCTCCGTCCCAGAAAGAACGACCCTTTTGGGTTGATTTCTCGGGTATTAAGAAATTTAAATAAAAATAAATTAAAAGTATATTGAAAAAATAAATTTACATTGGGTTTGTAAAAAAAGCAGAGAGAGAGAGAATATTAAAAGTAAATGAGAAAAATAAAATTTAATATGGGGAAGCTAATTTTGCACAAATATTATAGTAAATTGGTTGGTATTTTAATGCGAATGAGTCGATCATTTTGAGACTAAAATTAGGCCAAAATGGTCAAACTTTTGAGGATGGAGGGAGTAAGTGGTTTTTTTTTCTTTTTTACCAATTTTAACCTTATTCTCTTAATTTGTTCCCCAAATTATCCTCAATTTTTACTGATTTTTTTGTGCCAAATATTTTTGGCATTTATTAATCCACCAAAATATGTTCTCTTTCCTCATTCTTCTTGTTCTTTCTAGGTACTTTTTCTTCTTTTTGGCATTTATTAAGCTCTATTTTTCTTTTTTTTTTCTTTCACTTGTTATTCAAATGCATTTAATGTACTTTGATACTTCAATACATGGTTTAAGGAATCTACAAAAACCTTAATTCCCATGAAAAATGAGAAATGAAACTCTAATAAAAGGAAGAAAGGAGTACTAATTAAGGATAAAGAAGTAATTTGTTTGATGAAAAGCCAAAACCAAAACCAAAAAGCTAGTAAGACTAACTTTTTGTTTTTGGCGAAAAAGTCGGCTTTTCATTTAGATCAAAAAATCGGGTCGGAGTGGGCCTTAACATGATACCTCGTGCCCAAACCCGAAAAAAGTAGCGGGCTTTTCGGACTTGTTTCAGGCCGGGTTCGGGCTTTAAACTAAAAATGTGTTTTTTAGACTTGTCCAAAACCGCCCTATTTGCGGGCCAAATCAGGTCAGACTAGCAAGCTGGACTGAGGTTGATCACCTCTACCAAACATGTATTTTGGCTGTTTGACCAAAAGAAAAGCCAAAAACCAATTAAAAAGTCATTTACCATACAAGGCCTATAATATGCTACACAAAATGTTATAGTATTCCCAAATATGTTTTTCCAATACGATATGTTTTAATCACCTCTTGCATAAGTTTGTGCGGGAAACAATTTTGGCACACCTACATGTGAAAAAGAGCTTTGAACATTGTGCAATGTGTCAAAATTATTTCTTGGTTATCTAATGTCCTTCTTTTAGGAAAGATACATTAAAATAAGTACATTTCTCTAAGATTGCAAAATTTAACCTAATTTATTGAAAGAAATAAAGTGAGAAAATTTGTTACAAATAAATAAATTATGAGCAAGATCTTAATGAGTTTGCATGTAGTGATTTATCGACTTTCGCTGTAACATACCATCTCTGTTCTAGAATAACTGACACGGTCATATTTTGCACACGTGTTCATACATTAGGTTAACCTTATTTTCATAATTGAAAATATATGAAAATTATAAATAATAAAAAAAAAAATTATATTATGAAACACTACCGTCATAGTTAATATATACACTCTTTTTTATCGCATCATGACTTCATGAGTGATTTCATGTTTGTCAATGCAATACTTTGGTTATTAATACATTTGATTATAGTTTTGTAAAAATTATAAAAAGTTGATATTTAAAAGGTAGATTTCGAGATGAATCAAACTGGATCCCACATAACTATATTTTTCATAACGGATAAATCATAAAAAATGCTTTAAAATGTATGGAACAATGTAAAAGTTTTGAGGTACAAAATAAAAGAAAAATTTACTATGCATGAAGTATATAAAAAATGAAAAAAGTGTACAGATTTTCGATTATTCTGGAACGAAGAGAGTAGCCTACGAGGTTAAACGCTTACACCTCTTGTTCGGCAAAATATAGTTGTGTAGGTAGTTGTTAGCTGTGAATGTAGAGGTTAGTTGTGTAAGTAGTTGTTAGCTGCCAACAAGCTGTTAGCTATGAAAATATATAATTTAGATATGAGTGTTTGATAAAGTAGTGGTTGACTAGTTAGTACATATAAAAATCAATATTTTATTTTTAAAACTATACATTAAATTTTCAACAAGTACCTCAAAATCTATCTCTAACTTGAAAAACTAATAATCCTAATTCCTAACTTTTCATAAAGGGGTTGTTGGGCAATTGGCTTTTTGCCTAGCTTTTGGCTTTTAAGTTTGGTCAAACAGCTAAAAATTATGTTTGGTATTTGGCTTTTAAGCTAGCTTTTCCGCCAAAAGCCAAAAGCTAATAAGAGTAGCTTTTTTTTATTAGCTTTTGGCTTGTTGGCCCACTTTATCACTAATAAACAGCTAACAATCATTAATAATTTTACCAAACACTTTTGAAAACAGCTAGCTTAACACAATAATTTAAAAAGCCAACCCATATAGCTAATACTTCCAGCTAGTCAAACAAGTCAAGCAAACAAGCCAACAGCCAACCGTCGACTGCCAAACAACCCCAAAAGCTACCTCTACCATTAAAAGCTACTTGAACCATTACTTTGCCAAACACTAACATTTTTTGTTAAGTAGTGGTTTAACCAAAACTACTCTAAAGCTAGCGTTGAACACGCCCAAATCTCCTACGAGTCCTACCTTTGCCGGTAAATGTAAGCATTGGTTATACACTTCGTTTAAAAGAGATAAAGGTTCAATTATCATTTATCAATGAAGAACTAAACAGGCTACTGCCCAGATTATTAAAGAGAGCCATGGTACCTCTTCATTCACCCCTTACAACCATCAATTTAAGCAGCATTTCATTCCCACCTCAAAAACTCCATTACCATCAAAAATCACCATTTTCATCCTCAAAAATCTCATACCCTTTGCATTCTTTCATCTCTTCAAATTCATTCAAACTCAAAAAAGAAAACTCCTTTCAAGTTTCATTATCATTTACCCAACAAAATTCCAATGATTTATTCAATAATTCTCTGTTACTTCTTCCTAATTTTTCATTTTCCAAGTTACCATTTTCAAGACTCACAACTGCTGCTTCAACATCAACACCACCACCCTTAAATTCAACTGTCCTAAATTCCAGTGAAAATGTTCATTGGATGGTAAAAATGGATAAACCTCCAAATGGGTTTCAATCAAAAGCTGAAATCATCAACTATTATGTCAGTATTTTGGAAAAAGCTCTAGGAAGGTAGGTTTTCTGGTTTTAAATGCATTTCCTAATGTTAGTTTCGGAATTCATCACAAAATCACGCGCTCAATTGGTACTATTAATGTTTATGTTATTGATGTTTATTTATTTAATGCTTAATGATTAGGGGTTGGTGAATTTTTACAGTGAGAGGGATGCACAAAGTTGCATATATGATGCTTCCTGTGATACAAATTTTGGTTTCTGCTGTATTGTAGATGAAGAAACTTCTCGTTTTATTGCTGGTAAGCGTTCAATTTTCTTTGATACCCTTTTTTGTATGTTTTAGTAGTGATTGCTATAAAGTTGTAATCTTTAATGGGATTTTACAGCTTCTATTTTTATATTTGCAATGTATTGAAAAGGTTTGCCTGGAGTGCTATCTGTTATTCCTGACCCTGATATAAATTCTGTTAAGAAGGATTATAGTGCTCGAAATTTTCGAGATGTTTCTGTGTCGAATTTACACAATCAGACCTCATTGTTGTACCCCAAGGGTTCGAAAAACTGGCTTGTACGTGTCGAAAAACCGTCTAGTAGAGTCTTATCCAAGGCACAGGCAGTTGATTCTTATGTAAACATACTAACCAGAGTCTTGGGAAAGTAAGTGTTGGCCTGTTGAATTCACATGCTTCTTTGTGAGTTTTTGAAATGGTTAGTTGAGTAACCAATTTGTTCAATGACAGCGAGAAGGATGCGCAAATGTGTCGATATCATGTATCATGGCAGTCTAATTTTGGGTTTTGCTGTAAACTCGATGATGAGTCTGCGCAAGAGCTAGCTAGTATGTAAAATTTCTGGTCTTTGGCCATTGATTCATCATTTGGCATTGGGTTCCTTACTGTAGACCCCTTTTTTTGGTGCAGCTGTGGCTGGAGTTATTTCTGTTCGGCCAGATGAGCATTTTGAGTCCGAAAATAAAGACTATGGAGGTTTGTCAATTATCTTTATTTGATTGCTTTCCAGCTATGTATTGTTTGGTTTGGAGTACAAAATATGAACCAAATTTCATTTTCGTTATCTACCAATTCAATAGATTTCCTGTTTTAAGAGGTCTCATTTTTATAGCAATCATTTTTTTCATAATTTGTTATGAGCAGTCAGCAGTGTATTGGAGGTAATCTACTATTTACTGTACTCAGCAAATCTCCACATTTTCATTTGTTCTCTAAGCGGAGAATATAAATAATTATTTCATAATGCATTGATAATTCAAATTGTTCCTATTTATTTAAAATTTATAGGCTACTAGATTAGCTAGATGGATGTATTATGTACGTTGTGGGTGTAAATTTGTTTTGCTTGTCAGTTGACAGCATGGATTATATGTTCATTGGCACACAGCTCTTTCTGTAGACTATATAGTCTATAAAGAGCAAATCTGTGACATAGATGGTTTGAGATAATTGATACGGATTAATTAGTAGAAGTAAATGGGTATTAAGAAAGTGGAAAACCATTTAGGGCTTCTCAGAGGCATAGTTTTTGATGCCTGAAGAAAGTATGTCATGGAGAATGGAAAAACACTGTTTATTGAATTCAGAACATAAGTATTCAAAAAAAAAAAAAAAAAAAAAAAAAAAGTCAGAATATATGTTTACTGAAGAGACACGTCCATTTGAAAAAATGTGAATTTGTAAATAATAGCGCTGGTATGTTACTTATGTCTGATAATCCTTTTCCATTTGCACTGACCTGGGCTGACCACTATATTCACTTATCCACTTGCAGTATAATAAAATGCTTTTAAAATTACAAACAATGCAAATAGCAGTATATGGTATCTCCTAATCTGTGCTCATAACAGTATGGATACAGACATACAGTGTTCTCTTCATCCGTGTTCTCATTTTGAATATCCAGTTGATTAAATCACAAACAATTCATCTTTTCTATCAGTGAATTTGTGTTACTGTCAAAGTAAAAAAATTTACATGTGATATATACGAGTATCGGAGTATGTGGTGTCTTCATTCTTATATGTGCTCTTCAAAGTTTGGTATATAGCCACTTTCTGCAACCTAGCCTAGTCATTGTTTATAAGAATATAAATCTTCCCTCTAGCTGGATGACTGTGAAGACATGGATTGCAGGTGACAGATTGGCATCCAATGCTTCTGATTCTACAAAAGAAACAGAGATGAGCAAAACCAAGCTTTTCATAACAGGTAGTTATTTTCCTTTCTTATTTGTAAATGCAATATTTATGATCTTTGGTACTGCATACTGATGTTTGCTTGGCTGTTGGACCGGTTATTCCTCGGAGTTATTGCTTTTCCAATTGACTCTTAGATTGACAACGGTGTTACTTTTACATATCACACTATTATATTAAGAAAGGATAATCAGGAGCTTAATGCACCTTGAAATATGCTCAACAAACACCTGCCGATTAAATAACAGAATCATGTTTGTCCAAATCCAATTATGCTGGGATTTGGAGAAAGGTTATAGGCTAAAAAGTTATTCATTTGCAATCACGCAGAAGTTAAACTGTCAATTTGTTGATTGAAAATACATCACTGACAGTTTGATTATATGATGCCAAGCTGTAGTTTTGCCAATTAGGAATCCTTTAAGCTTTGGGAAAATGCAAGTTACATAAGAACAATAGTGAAAATACATGTTATGTTACAGATCCTTAAGAGTTGTATATTCTTCCTTATTTTCTGCTGGCAGTAAGCCACATCTTAAATTAGGGAACCAGCCATCTAGCAGAATGAAAGAACTTCAGATATAAACATATTATAGCTGAGGTGCTTTCTCCTAATTTCTCTATCTCACATCAATGAGAGTAGTTACACTCACCTTATAATATTGTTTTGTCAGTCTAACTCCCATCACTTTAAGTATTATTGATCATCTAAAGTTTCATCCCCATCTCCATTACCATTCGGCTTGTGAGTCTAGACTTGAGTTTACTTAGCTAGCCACTACTATTTGCTACATAGAGTCATCCACATGGTATATATTTAACAGGATTTGCCCTTTTAAGTGTATATATAATTGTAGAAAACTGTTGAGTACATTGTTAATAGAAATTCATAATGGATGCGGCATTTGAGAATCTGAGATCCAACATCTATCTCTATCTTAAATTGGAAGCTAGAGAAAAATCCCTACTATCTTTGAATACACATTACAAATTCTTCTGTTTGGCTGTATTTCAAGTCCTTTAACTTCAAAGTATATCTCCAAATTTCTAATCTATTGGTTAAAGTGTTAAACCCTCTTCATGTGCTGTATGCGCCAAAACTTTCATCTGTAAAAGCATAAGCCAAGGCCCAAAAACAGTAGGAAGATTCTGTCAATTTTCAATGTTAGTCTGCTTATAGTTGGTTACAGACTTGAGTCATCATAATTTGCGTAGAGATTCCTCTAAAAGACTGTTTCGTTACTCAGCTTTAAAAAAAAAATTTAAAAATTGTGGTATACTAATATATACAGAGTCTTGGAGGCTAAGAGTAATGTAGCTTCATCTCTAATGTACTGAACTTACTGAGTTTAGCTCTATTGTTCAAAACGTTTGTGTTTTATCTCTTTTTTCCTTTCCCGTTATATATAATCAAGTATTTGGATGTATGTTTTATTTTGCAGGTGGAGCATAAAGAGGCTCTAATTTGATGATAATTCTTTCCTTTTCCCTTTCTCTCTTTCCCTCTGTCTCGAATCAATATTTACATCATATGCTATGTTATTATTGGATATTAAGAAAAATCTGTCACCTTAACTACATAAAACTATGTCATATCCTTAATTATGCGTGGTTGGACTAATTTGACTACAAAGAGTAGTTTTTGAAAAAGTTAATGTGAAGATGGGTTGGCAAGGGGTGCTCAAAACTTAACTATGCTCTAACTACCATTCTGAAAGATACCTTATGCCTTCTTACCTTAACCAGAAAGTATCTTGTATTTGTCTGGTTCAAGAAATGATGTTTATACTCTGTCTGCATTGATATACCTAGCTCAAAGTGCTTGTTATCATATATCAACTGTATTAGGTTTTTATTTTTCCCTTGCAGGTTTGTCTTTCTACACATCTGAAAAGACATTACGTGAGGCCTTTGAACCCTTTGGTGAACTCGTAGAAGGTAGGTTGGTCTTTTATATAATTGGACAGCTTTCTTACAATTTCTTTTATTTATCTATAATTTCTATGTTGAGCTGCTGTGCTAACTCCTAAATGCCTGCAAACATTCTGTACAGTTAAGGTAATCATGGATAAGATCTCGAAAAGGTCAAAAGGGTATGCATTTGTTGAGTATACCACTGAAGTTGCTGCTACAACAGCTCTCCACGAAATGAATGGCAAAGTACGCTTAAGGGCATCATCATTTATGTGTTGAAATTATATTTTCATCTTTTTAATATTTCAAGCATCACAAATTATATCCTCACTCTTTCTGATACATTGTAGATTATTAATGGCTGGATGATAGTTGTTGATAGAGCAAAGATGAAGCCACAGCGCTCCAGAGCATTGTCATCACAAGACAGAAAAGTGACGCAGAGGATGGCTCATCAAAATTCACAGTCCTACAGCTAAAGATTGAATTTCATTATATGTTCAAGAAAAGTTGAGCAGAACATGGAACTCACATATAGAAAGACATAAGATAGAGCTAACATGATCAGTCATCAGTGGCTTGGTGCATCAAAATGTATAGGTCGTTATCTCATGTTGGTATTCGAAAGAATTGAATCCTAATTTCCTTCAATATTTCATTTCATGAATTTTAAGAGGTTAGTTTCACGACATGTTTTGAGAGACAGAAAAGATTGAGAAATGTGACATGGTTTACAGATTCTTACCAATGGCCATTTTTCTAATTGCAACACTTAAATGAAAATACCATATACGAAGCACTATCTTAAAAATTGGTCATGTCCAAACATTATTATAAAAGCGATCTTTTGCTGGACCAAATAAAAATCTGTAAGATAATTTGATTTTCTCATTATATAGAAAGCAAAGAATACTCTACATTGCTAGATGAAATTTAGGGGAATTTTGAGTTGTATTCTACAATGAATGAGCTGAGCTGCAACAACTGGGAAACTTAAATAGTAAAATGACATCCGCATTCACTAACAATCCATGTGACGATCTCATAGGAGACAGACTAAGAAATTTTAACCATACTAGGTTAGTTCCCGTGCCTTGCACGAAAATTTTCAATAATCATTTTTAAACTATCGTTATAATTTATAATCAAACAAAATAAAATCTAAAAATATAGTTGACAAATTTTGATCAAAATAAGGGATTACAGGTATAAAATGTGTAAAAAGTTATCAAACTTATGTTAAGAATGTCTTTTTTATAGCTATAAAAATATTTTGTGTTAAAGGATATGTCAATTTTTTTTATTTTTTTTATTTTAAGTAATTATATTGTATAAATTTAGAGAGCTATATTTGTATAAGATTTGTTTCTTAAAAAATAAAAAAAAAATAAAAAGCTAATGACACACCAGGAGATGACACGTGTCATTGCTGGTGTGTCTTTTAGTATATAATATATTATTGATTTTATAATTTCTATAAAAGAAAATACATTACTCCGTATTTCGTTAAATCCTTGCTCAATTTATTTCAACGTGCTTTGTTAAAATTATCAACTATTCATAAATTAACTTTATATAAACGAAGAAAAAGCTAGAGTAGAACAAAAAAAGAATTAGGAATACTCTCCACCCAAGAACTCGGACGCTTGCCAACAGCCCTAAAATTGAAAGAAATAGCTATAGAAATCAAGAAATACTGAAATAACTAAAATTGAGAAGAAATGGCTATAGAAATCAAGAAATACTGAAATTACTAAAACTAAACACACTTTCTTAAGTCTTGTTTTTACTAAAAAAAAATAAAATCCAAAACACTAATGAAAGAAATAATAACTAAATGAATTTCACCAAACACTAATGAAATTATTGGAACAAAGAGTTTTTCTTACTACCAAATAGCAGCAAAAGCAACAGCTCATAAACATGAGCTGATTTCCTTTCTGATACTGATACGATGGAGATCTAAAGCACGAGAACAGACTTTCCTGAGGTTGGGGAGTGAGCGCACAACGAAGTTCACAGTACGTCCCATGCCAGACTCAGAAGGAAATCTCACTGCAATTTAATTAGGCACATGAAAGGAGAATCACCCTTTACATCATATAATGACCAATATTACTTGCAAGTATATATTACTTCAGCACGAGGACAAACATTCTTGAACCGCTTGAGCATCCTGGAAACCTGGCTCTTTTTCATATCAGGCCATCCGGCAATGCTTAAAGACCTGAGGTTTGGGGAGTGAGCACAAAGAAATTCAATGAAGTTCACAGTACATCCCATGCCAGTTTCATACGGACATGTCACTGCAATAGAATCGAGTGCAGGAAAGGAGACTACTCCTTTATTTTGCTTTAAGAATTGCGTGATTTGCCTTAGACCTTTGGCTTCATCAATCTGGAGCATAGAAGATGAAAAGTTACATCAGGTATACTATTAAAAGAAACTAGTACTGTAATAGGATGGAAATTGAAAAGGAAAGTGACTTACGACAAATTCGAACTTTTTGATGTTTGGGCAGGATCTTAGCAGAGAAAGACAAACCCTGAACACTCCAATGTTCTCACAGTTTACATCAGAAAGGGACAAAAACGATAAAGTATTGTTCCTCAACGGGAAATTTTCAAATGCACTATCAGCAGCCAAGATCTAGCGGGAAAAAAATAAAAATAATCAGCAGCCAAGAGCTAATAAAGGATCCGTTAAAGTAGAGAGAAAAGACAGCTAAAGAACCAACACATACTATAAAAAGTGAACACCTTTTATACTTCAAAACAATTCAATAAGAGAACAAACATAGAAGTACCTCGATAAAAGCTCCACATAAAACCAAATTTTGCAGGACAACCAGTCTAGAAAAGCAACGAATAACACTCCGCCAGTTGTAATTCATACCTCGACGTACAGGATTATCCAATATACAAACTGAATCCAAATGTGCAGGATCTCCAATAACAATGTCCTCCATTCCTATATCTATTTGTAACTCCAACAGTCTTGGAGAATAAAATTTCAAATGCATTGACACACTTATTTCCAACACCACCAACTTCTCCAGGAGAGGGCAAGCAAGAATTAAGTGGTGCAGATCATAATCACTAATTGAAACGTTTCTGAGAGAGAGTTCATGAAGAAAGCTAAATCTTCTAAAAGAAGATGGAATCTTTAATGCACACATTTGCAGGTTCAAACTCTGAAGCTTGTCAAACAAAAAAAGATATGAAGGTACCACAGACATATTATAGTCACGCTCTTCAAGTGACATTATCTCAACATCTTGTCTAGAAAGATATAGTATCCACTGATATAAATCAGGATAATGTGCACGACAGTTTGTTTTCAAGACAAATGTCTTAATTGCACCATCGTGGTTAAGCAAATATCTGTTGACAATATTCGCAACCTTATCCCATCGAAGATATGTCATACTAAACACAGTAGGAAGATAATCAGCATCAAGGACAAATTTGGATAAGGAAAGCCATTTGTATCGCCATTCACTAGCCAGAACACATGTTCTGGCAGCATCCTTTAGTGACAACTTCCCAAGAATAATGTCTAGAACTTCCCACGGAAGACTACTTATCCTATCCACATTCTCCTCAGACATATTCTGTTCCCCTAAACCCAATAGATGATTCGTGTCTTCCATGTTCTTGCTCACTGTATTCATTAATTCAGGCAACAAAAATTAGTCAATTTTCTATATTAGTCAGCAATATATAATCATAATTCTCTTTCTATAATCACAGGAAAATGAATTACTAAACTGAAAAGATGATTCAATACTACAGAATGATTTTTTGTAAAGACTCTAAATGTGAAGGTGAAGAATAGAAAAGAAAAAAGTCTGATCATAAAGGCGATTATGATGTTAGACAGTAGTTCCTATTTAGATAAAAAAAAAAAGTAAAAGGACAATTTTTAGGAACCTATTAAATTCATTCCGAGATTTATTTACATTAATGATGCAGAAAGTAAAAGGACAATTTTTAGGAACCTATTAAACTCTAATATGACTTGTGTCAATCTAAAGAGGCAAGTTACCAGGATGACAGAGCTGCACAGGTTATGCAAACCAAGAAGTAATTATAACATAGTAATAAACACAAAAGCCAACATACTTTTCTTTGCTTTCTGGCCTTGACGCATGACAGTGCCATGCGACTCATGTTCCCCACAAAATACACCCATGAGCCATCTTTTGGCCACAAACATTCCCTTTGACCTTCCTAGATCCTGAACAACTGGCTCCATAGTCCAGAAGCCAGCAGAAATGGCACCTATATTCTTCTTAACAGCAATCTAGATCTTGAGGAGTATTTTTAATACTTATTTAAAGCTAATATCATATTTAACCCTATTTGAAGAGCTCATACTGGAATTTTAATTTGTAAAACAAGAGCAGCTGTTGACAGTCAACAGTGATCGTCTAAATACTAAAGAGATTAACATGGTGCAAGAAAACACAACACTTATCCTATCTTTCACAAAATTATAGAATCCAGATGTAAAAAAGACGCAAGATCTAACTTAGAAATCAGAACATGCATATCTGTAATACACATTACATATGCCTACATATTTGCAAATAAGAAGCATAACGCGGTAGATTATTACAAAGAACCTTTCTTCAGAATAAGATCTGAGGTCAAAATAACTTCAAGTGTTCATATCTCATAATCATAACCAGAGAAATAAAAATAGATTCAGCAAATTTAATAATCAGAATTCAAGTCACAGGGAAACACTCAAAAAGGAGGAAGCTTTGAAAATAGGACAATATTAGTCTGATACCAACCTTTTTGTTGATGTAACAAATTGTTATATTCAGGCCAAATACCAATTCAAAACTATAAGTCTATAACACACACATTACCACCACCAACAACAACAATAACAACACCACCAAAAACAACAAAAAAAACAAAGGGAAATATTTTAACTAGTTAAAAACAGGCATTATATAAATTTTTTTAAAAGAAAAATAATAATAATAAAAATTGGTGACTTCTTGAGCATCATTTATACGTCTTATTAGGTGGTGGAAAATAAAAATGCATCAACACATACATATATAACAAATCATACAAGAATCCACAGTAAATATGTAAATTCAACAAGAGAAAGAAAATTATATCATGAAAGAGTACCAAGTAACAATCTTTGTTAATACTATCACCACCAGCGTCAAGTATGCCTATGCCCGAGAGGGATGAATGTTTACAGGTAAATCTTCATTAAGAAGTATGCTAAAGAGAGATGAAAAATTATAAGCTAATTTAATAGTTATGCCAGAGAAGGATGAAAGTTTACAGGCTAATTTGTGTCAAAAAGTATGCTAGAGAGAGATGAAAATTTGTAGACTAATGATTAGAGATGTTTTCATGAGACTCTGCCCACATAATAATATAATAATAAAATAACCAAACTTGGGAAATAATCAGAGTAGCATCTTCATATGAAGAAAAATATCATCTCATTTCCTTTTCAAAAGATTTTCTAGGATAACACATGCCATTAAGCATTCTGCCCAATAATGTAATCACCAAAGTAAAATAATTAGATGAAAAACGGTATATAATCTTGTTTGTATTTGACACAAATGCTTTATTGGACCACTCACTTTTGAGTTCTAAACTGGAGCTATAAACTGTACTTCACACTCTATTGGGAGGGAAATGAAGAATGAAGAGTGTAAATAATATTCCCTCTGTCCTAGAACAATGTCACGTTGGACTTCTTCACAATTCATATACTTCCTCCGTTTCTATTTAGTTGATGGTTCAATTTAGGCACACATATTAAAGAGAGGAGAGAGAATGATAAAAGCATAAAACTTATCTAAAAAGGAAACATGTCAACTAAATATAAACTTCCTAAAAAGAAATACGTGTAAAAAAATTTAAAAAAAAAAAAAAACGGAGGTAAGTATTAACTTTGACCATAGTTTATTAATAACGTATTTAAAAAATAAATTTAAATATTAGCATTTAACATAATATGTCTAAATAGGTATTATTATAAAGTTTCATAATATTACCTTTTTTTTTACATATTTTTTTACTCATACAATCATTCTTAATTTTATCATATGCTGACTTAATTCACTGAATTCCCTGGCATGCATTCCACTATTCGACAACACCAATTAGTATCCAAGTCAGGACTCCCCTTAAATTTAATAGTCATGTACGATTTTATTAGATTCGCCTAGAAATATACTTTCATAATATCAAAAAAAAATATTTATTTTTATTTTTACTACAACACAACTTAAGATACTTGCTCCTTTTGTTTCTAAATAATCAACACATTTGACTTTAACTTTGACCATCTTTTTTTTACCATATTATATAAAACAAAATGTTAATAACTAAGTCGTTGGATTTATTTAAGTGTATAAACTTGAAATATCAAGTTTTTATTAACATTTTGTTTTAGTTGATAGGAATAATGCCATGGTGGCCACCTGACTGGTGTAAATCTATCACATGGTTACTAGTAGATTAAGACTAGATCATGTATGATCATAAAAATAATAATAATAATAATAACAAAAAAGCAGCAAGAACAGGGTAAGTAAATACCATTCCAGTGATTGAAAATGTACCATTATCGTCAATTTAACTTCTGAACAAGCAAAGAAGCAACAGTCAGGCAATCTTCCGTCCAAAATCTCCTGGAAACGTCCACTTCTACCTAAACAGCAAACCTAAAATATTGCACATCAATAGTTAGAGGCATTGGACAGTCAAGCCAATATTATTACATAATAAATGTGTAATAAGAAAAACTTACCAGCACAAAGAATGCTTCTAATTTTTGGAAGCTTAAAAGAAGATAGAAAAAACTCATGGTGCCTTTGAAATGCCAAATTTATCCCTGTAAATAATTCTTCAAAACTGCAAAATTCAATAATCAGCTACAGCATTATTTGGTACAAAAATAAACAACAAACATATGGATTCTTAGGACAACACAATTGACAATTAGCAACAAAAGGAAATTAAAGAGAACAAAGTCAAATCAAAAGATAATTAATAGAAATTATAGCCGCTTCAGTCCCTTTATTAGAGAAGAGCCACTTAAGTGTCAGTTTTCTGTAGTATATATCAAACACTGATTTAAATTACAAGCCCCACTTGCTACACTATCTCTCCTACATTCCTCGGTTTTGGTTGTTACAGTTACCCCTAACAACTTTTAAGATTGGAGGCAGTGTACATTATAAGAAAAATACTAGCATGTATTCCAGTATTCGCAATCAAGACCATCATCATATATAGCTTATGTTATGATATCTATTCGCAAGTACAATAATGCAAAGTCTAAGTTCTGCCTCAAACAATAACATGAGCAAACAGATTAAAGAAAAGGCTTATTTAATCATTCCTCATTTACACCAAAGAATCGCATAAAATCCAAACAAACAATAATGCTCGAAATCTCAAATGTGGTCTAGAATCTAGTAAGATAAGAAAAGCCACTACATTTATTCTCCAATTCAATGAAATTAGTACAGTAGCAATAATCACATTCTAATCACACTCATTACACAATTCTTATTACTAGCTGAAATAATTATTCATCATATATAAATAGAGATTCAAAAAAACAAGAAGAAAAGAAAAGAGAGAAAAAAAAAACAAACAAACAAACAAAAAAACTCTAATCTACAAACAAAACCCATGTCAAAGTTAAGTAATAATACAAAAAATTAAATCTATAATAATTTAAAAACCCAATTGCAATAAAAGGGAATACAATCATAGAATAATTACAACAGTGATTTCTAATTTCAGTGGGGATAAACAAAAATAACCTAAAGTTGCTGATTATATCAAGTATATAATAATTATAATGAAGAACAGAGACAGAAATGCTACCGTTTAAATTGAAAACCGGCGTAGTATGTAACCGGAGAATAGCTTGCCTCGGTGAGTGGTGACAATAAGTGAAGGTGAACACAAGTACAACACCAGAACAGCACCCCACCTTTCCATGGCAACACTAATGTCCTGTGTTGTTATTTGTTAATTTCTCCGTTTTTTAGTTGCATCACTTTAGTTTTCACAAACTCCTAAGCAATTTTTAGAGTAAAGAGAGGTAGAGAGAAAAAACAAGGGCTCATGTGATAAAAGAGAAAGAAAAAATTGTTATTTAAAAGGAAAGTGATGCAAATAAAAAACGAAAGGCTCACAACTCAACGTATTTTGTGAGATTTGTAGAAGTTTTACGTTATTTTATCAAGTGAAACATCTTTACTCTACATCGCATTGGAAAGACAATTTAACAATTTATTGTAGCTGTAAGGATTGTCTGATCCATCTGACTGTATTCAACAAATTATTATTATTTTTTTCTAATCAAAATGAATTTTCACTAATGAAACAAATTCACAGCAATTCATCAGATAAATTTATTTTTTTAAAAAAAAGAAAAGGGGGGGGGAATCATGTCTTTTGAAGAACAAAAGATACTCCTTAAAAAAAATTAAGTCACCTGTGAGGCAGTCAGACAAATAACAGAATTTTGACCATGTTTGAGAGTTCTGTAAAAAAAAAAAAAAAAAAATACATATGATTTATCTCAATGGCTTAGGTTATACTATCAACTTTTCATAATTTTCATTAATATTAACTACAAGACTATGAAAAAGCTAGTGAGTAGAACAAAAAAGAATTAGGAATACTCTCCACTCAAAAACTCAGACCCTTGCCAACAACCATAAAATGGAAAAAAAAAATGGATATATGAGAAGAAATCACAAATACTTAAATTACTGAAATATAAAACACTTAATTCAGTCTCGTTTTCACTAAAAATACAAAAAGAAATAACTAATAAAAGTTCACCCAAAAGGAAGTTATTGAAAATAAAACTTTTTCTTACTACCAAGCAGCAGCAAAAGAAACAGCTCATAAACATGAACTAATCTCCTTTTTGATACTGATAAGATGGAGGTCCCATAAAGGGCAAATCCCTATCACAGGTGAATAGAAATAAAGTGCGAGAACAGACTTCCCGAAAGGCTCCTTTAATGCTTAAAGACCAGAGGATGGGGAGTGAGTGCACAATGAAGTTCACAATTGTACAATACACCACAGTCAGAAGAAAATGTCACTGCACTAGAATCGGGCACATGAAAAGAGAATCTGTGCACTAGGACAAACTTTCTTGAACCGCTTGAGCAATTTGGGAATCTGGGCCTTTTTCATCACAGGCCATCCTAGAATCCTTAAAGACCTGAGGTTTGGGGAGTGAGCGCAAAGAAATTCAATGAAGTTCACATTACATCCCATGCCAGCAGAAGTAGGACACATAACTACAATAGAATCAAGTGCAGGAAAGGAGACTCGTCCTTTATTTTCCTTCAAGAATTTTGTGATCAGCCCCGGACCTTCGGCTGGACCAAACTGTAGCATTGAAGATAAAAAGTTACACCAAATATACCTCCAAAGATAAGTAAAAGGATGGAAAGTGAAAAGGAAAGTTACTTACTAAAAATTTTAACTTTTTAATGTTTGGGCAGGATCTTAGCAGAGATAGACAAACCCTGAACGTTCCAAGAATCTTACAGTTTAGACAGGTAAGGAATAGACGCGATAGAGTATTGTTCCTCCACGGGAAATTTTCAAATGCACAATCAGCAGCCAAGATCTAAGAAAAAAAAATAATTAAATGCGTAATCAGCAGCCAAGAGCTTAGAAATGATCTGTTAGAGTAGAGAGAGAAAAGACAGCTAGTCACTTACACTACACATACTATAAAAAGTGAACACCTTTTATACATCAACAAAATTCAGTAAGTGCAAAAAAATTCAATACATCAACATGAAATTACATTGATAAAAGCTCCACATAACTCCAATTTTCGCAGGACAACCATACTAGAAAAGCAACTAATAACACTCCGCCAGTTGTAATAAATAATATGAGGCACAGAATACTCAATTATATGAACTGAATCCAAACGTGTTGGATTGCCAATAACAATATCCTCCATTCCCAAGTCTATTTGTAACTCAAACAGTCTTGGAGAATCGATGTTCAAATGCTTTAACTCATTTATACGGAACAAAGCTAATTTCTCGAGGAGAGGGCAGGCAAGAATCAAGTGGTGAAGATCATCATCACTAATTGAAACATTTGTGAAAGAGAGTTCACGAAGAAAGCTAAATCTTCTAAAAGAAGATGGAATCTTTATGGAACACATTTGGAGATTCAAACTCTGTAGCTTCTCGAACAGAAAAAGATACGAAGGCACCACAAAGATTTGATAGCCAACCTCTTCAAGTGACAGAATCTCGACATCTAGTTTGGAAAGATATTGTATCCACTGATATAACTCAGGATAATGTACACTACAGTATGTTCTCAAGACAAATGTCCTAATTTCACCATCATGGTGAAAGCGATGGTGAAGCAAATATCTGTTGATGATATTCGAAACAGCATCCCATTGAAGAATTTTAAAACTAAACATACCAGCAATATAACTAGAATCAAGGGAAAATTTGGATAAGGAAAGCCATTTGTATCGCCAATCCGTAGCCAAAACACTAGTTCTAATAGCATCCTTTAGTGACAATTTCCCAAGAATTATGTCTAGGACATTCCACGGAAGAGTACTTATCCTATCCACAGTCACCTCAGACATATTCTGCTCCCCTAAACCTGATTGATAACTCACGTCTTCCATGTTCTTGCTCACTGTATTCATTAATTCAGGCAACAAAAAAAATGTCAATCTTCTATATTAGTCAGCAATGTATAATCATAATACTGTTCCAATAATCAAAGGGTAATGAATAAGTAAACCGAAAAGATGAATCAATGCAACAAATTGAATTTTAGTAAACTCTAAATGAGAAGGTTAATCATAGAAAAGGAAATAGTTTGATCACAAAGAAATACTCAGAGTAAGCTGTTAAAAAAATAGTTTCCAAGTAAACAAATAAGGGAAAGGACAATCTTTAGGAACCTATTGAATTCATTCCGAGATATTCAATGATGCAGAACCTTTAGGACCAGAGAGCTTTAATATGACTTCTGTCAATCTAAAGAGGAAGGTTACCAGGACCAGGATGTCAGTGCTACACTGATTATGCAAACTAACAAGCAATAATAACATAGAAATAACAAAAAAAGAGGCAACAGATTTACATAGAAACCAAGAACAAGGAGAAAATTACAACAATGTTACACTAGGACTTTGATGATGAGTAGCTGGTGATTACAAAGCTCACAGAACTTTTATAATCTCTCAAAAGTGATTATCAATGGTCTATGAATTTCTCCTCTTCTCTCAAACTAGAATCGGAATAACATTCTATAAAGCTTAGATCTACCAGACTTTAATCAGGTAAGACTGTAAGAGGTAACGACTACTAGGTTGGTTAGCACACTTAATGGGAGAAACCCTGACTGACAAGGAAGTGAGATCAAAGACGCAACCTGCAAGGCCCCTAAGAACAGCCCACATGGTACTCGGCTACTCGCCTACTCGGTGTACAAGTAGCATAGAGAAGCATGGCACTTGGCACCAATTGACACAGAGGTGTCAAGTTCCAAACTACTTTCCTTTGCTTTTGGGCCTTGACGCATGCAGTGACACTCATGTCCCCACAAAATAAACCCATGAGTGTTCTTTTGACCACAAATATTCCCTTTGACCTTCCTACTCGGCTACTCCTAAACCCCTGGCTCCACATTCCTGCGCCCAGAAGAAATGGGACAGAAATTCTCCTTAACAGCAATCTAGATCTCGAGGAAAACTTAATTAGAGCTAATATCATATTTTAACCCTATTTGAAGAGCTCAGCCTGGAAGTCTAAATTGTAAAAGAAGAGCATCTGTTGATGGTCAATAGTGATTGCTTGATTACTTAAGAGACTAACACGACAAATGAAAACCCAAAACATAACCAGATGTAAAAAAGAAGCAAAATCTAACTTAGAAATCCGAACATTCATATCTGTGATACACATTACGTATGCCTACAGTATTTGCAAATAAGAAGCATAACAAGGTAGATTATTACAAAAAATATTTCTTTAGTATAAGATCTGAGTCCAAAATAACTCACATGTTCGTATCTCATAATCATAACCAGAGAAAAAAAAAATACATTCAGCAAATTAAATAATCAGAATCCAAGTCACAAAGAAAAAAGGGGAAATCTTTAAAAAAAAAAAAAAAAAAAAAAGGACAATATTAGACTATTAGTCAGATTCGCAACCTTTGTGTTCATGTAACAAAATGTTTAAATCAGACCAAACCCCAATTCAAAACTATAACACAGAAAAAAGATAATTTTGAACATTTTAACTAGTGAAAGAAAGATTATATAGACTAAAAATAGGTACTATCAGAAGAAGAAAAAAATATATATGACTTTCTGAGTATCATTATTTTACATTTTATTAGGTGTTAATAAAAAAAATGCACCAACACATACATAAATAACAAATCATACAAGAATCCGCAATCAAATACGTTAAGAAAAAAGATTCAACAAAAGTAAGGGAATTATATCATGACAGAGATATACCAAGTGACGTATTTGTCAGTACTACCACCACCAAAAACTGCGTCAAGTACGCCCGAGAGAGATGAATGTTAAAAAGGTAATTCTTCAATAAGAAGTACACTTGACAGAGATGAAAGTTTATAGGCTAATTTGTGTCGATAATTATGCCAGAGAAGGATGAAAGTTTACAGGCTAATTTGTGTCAAGAACTATGCTAGAGAGAGATGAAAATTTATAGGCTAATCAATAGACATTATAAGAGATGTTTTAATGAAATCGTGTCCACATAATAAAATTATACAAAATAATCAGATTTGGAAAATAATCAGTCCTTCACGAGGAAATAATCTCATTTCCTTTTTAAAAGATTTTCCAAGATACATGTGCCTTAAGCATTCCCCACCCAAAAAAAAAAAAGCTAAATAAATAATCCCTCCGTTTCAGAATGATGTTCCTGTTTCGTAAATCGATGCAAATTTTTATCCATTTTTTACCGTAAATACTTTAATCTCACACTAGCAAAAATTATAAAAGTTAGATATTAATAATCTACTCACCAAGACGAATCAAACTAGATCCCACGTGACTATATTTGTTCTTATAGATTAAGAGAAATTTAGAAGATTCTTTTTTTTAAAAAAATCAAAGATTCCAAACAAAAACATCATTGTGGAACGGAGGGAGTAATCACTAAAGTAAATGAATTAGATGAATATCGATATACTTCCTCTGTTTTTTTAATATTGCACCACTTACCTTTTCAGAAAATATCACAAATATTGCACCATTTCTATTTTAGGAAAAGAAATATTTGTGTTCACACTACAAATACCAAATATACCCTTACTTTTTCACACTTAATTTTTTAGTTTATGTATACCATCACATGGACAATCTTGTATTTTTACATTTCTCTCTCATCCTTTTTTCCACTACCAAAAATCTTGCGCTAAACTCCTATGGTGCAATAAAAAAAGAACGGAGAAAGTATTATATTTTTATTATTTAGACACAAAAGCTTCATTGGATCACTTACTTTCGAGTCCTAAAGTGGAGTTATAAACTGTTTTCCATGCTCAAATTAAAAAGGAAATGAATAATGAAGAGGGTAGAGAATAAGATAAAAATTAAATCTGTTCCACCTAGAAGGCTAACATTTCAGACAGTTATCATTGGAGAATTTCTCAGATAGGGTTTCTGTCTATAGTCTTAATTGTATTTTTGTATAGATTCTCCCATTTTATCAGTTTGACACTTGACAGGAAATAATTCTCCACAAATATTGAATTTCTGATTGTATTATCTTTGTCATTTTGTTCACCACGAAAGGAAAAGTAATTCTCTTGTTTACTCTGTGTCAGAACATGTCATGCCGAAATGATGACACGTCGACACAATACTCAGGTAAATGTTAGAATGAATATGGGCAAGACAGCAAGTCTTGCTACACATAAACTACTATAAGGAAGATGTTATAAAAAACAAATAGAATGAATTGGGGTAAATCTTGCTATGAGCTATAAAAAAAATGTACATTCCAAATGGTTAGAATAAAAACACGGATAGTACAATCCCATCCTCTCCCTAACAGAAAATTATCATTCGTACTAGACAGTGTGGCAATAATGGCATGCATTATAAACCATGCCATCTATATTTTGGCTTGTAAGATGGTGGCTACCTGACTGGTGTAAACCTATCACAGGGTTTCCCTATAGATTGAGAGTGGACCTTAGCACCCGAATTAACAATTAACTATAATAAACGATTGGTTAGGTATAGAGGCATCACATAATGATATATGATGATTTAGAGAAAAAAAAAAAAAAAAAAAAAAAAAAAAAAAAAAAAAAGCAGCAAGAACAGAGCAAGTAAATACCATTCCAATGATTGAAAATGTGCAGCCATTGTCAATTTAACTTCTGGACAAGTAAAGAAGCAACAGTCAGGCAATCTCCCGTCCAAAATCTTCTGGAAACCTCCCTTTCTACCTAAACAGCACACCTAAAACATTGCACATCAGTAGTTAAAGGCACTCGACATTCAAGCCACTGTTATTACATGATAGATAAATGTGTAATAAAAAAATCTCACCAAAACAAAGAATGCTTCTAATTTTTGGAAGCATGAAAGAAGATAGATAAAGTTCATGGTGCCTTTTGATAGGCCAAACTTATTCCCTCAAATTATTCTTCAAACTGTAAAATTCATCAATCAGTTCAGAAAAAAATAATAATAATGATAATAAACAGCGAACATATGGATCCCTAGAGCAATGTAATTGACAGTTAGCCACAAAAGAAAATTAAAGAGAAGAAAGTTAAATGTCTTGGAACATACAAAAGAAATTTAATAGAGACTATGGCAGCTTCAGCCTTTTGATTAGACAAGAGCCACTGAAGAGTCAGTCCACTATAGTACTTCATACATCAAACACTGAATGAAAGTATGAAACTTCAAATAAATAGCACATATTGAAGATTGGAGAATCAATGAGTTAGCCAGGGCTCCCCTCTTCAAATTTCATATAATAACTTGCTTCAGGGGGAGAAAAATAGGGAAGAGGGGGGAGGGGGGGGGGGGGGGGTGGGGTTGGGTTATACCAGTCTATTATTGTTCTATTAAGTTGGTTAAACTTTCAATTCCAATCCGGTCCACAGATAGACCTACTCTCTTGCCCATTCACGGCAATGTTTTTTTTTTTGTACACACCCAACTTACAACAATATCTATCCTATTTCTTCTTACACAAACTCCACTAACAGCAATCTCTTTCCTAATACAATTACTTCCATTTTTTCTGAAACATGCCCCAGCTGCTAAAACACTCCCTGGTTCCTGTTGTTACAGTAGCCCCTAACAACTTAAAGGATTGGAGATAGTATACATTATATAAGTTCATTCCATACCGGACCAGAATAGGGTTATATACATGCTCATTATGAGAAGGGGTCATTCGAGCGTATCTAAATAGATACTATGTTTCCATATGGATCCCCGCGTCGTTCTATTCCATCTAGGATTAGGAAAAGGCAAAATCGGACCTGCTTTTTCCATCTCTCGTTATTTTGGACCCTATTGATCTCTTTGGGCTTCTATTGAATCGAAAAATAGGTTTGATTGTGCATGTATTAACAATCAAGAGCATCATCATATATAGCTAGTGCTATGGACAAATATCTATCTTCAAGTATGAGCCTTTGTCTCTCACAAGTGAATAATGTCGTGCTTCTTGGGTTAGTAAGTCCAATAATTGAACAAGATTGCCCATCTATCAATTTCAAAAAAAAGATATAAACACCATCAAATTACAAAGACTATTATCTCAACTCACCAATGATCTTTGGGAAACCAAAACACGTCATTAAACTCACTTTTCATCACACGGGTCCAAAAATAGCAGTAGCTTTAAGGAGTACCAGTGCTATATGAAGTACTAAATTCATAGAGTTAAAATCTGAATTTTTGTACCAAACCAGATCTTCAAACAACAATAATGCAAAGTCTAAAGTTCTGCCTCAAACAAAAATCATGAGCAAACAAAGAAAAGGCTGAGATAATCATCTTCATTTACACAAACGATTCGCCTTGTAAACACAAAATCCAGACAAACAACAATGCTCAAATGTGGTTTGGAATCTAGTAAGATAAGAAAGCCACTATATTTATTATCCAATTCAAGGAAATTCGTAGCAATAAATTACATATTAGTTACATTCCCTCATTACATAATTCTGACTAATAGCTAAAACCCATCATCAATAACTCATCATAATATCATATACATATAGAAAATCAAGGAGACAACAAGAGTAGGAAAAAAAAAAAAAAGAAAAAAAAAACATATATAACTTTACTTTGCAAACAAAACCCATGTCAAATTTAAGTAATTGCACAAAAAAATCAATGTATAACAATATCAAAAACCCAATTGCAAGAAAAGAGGAGAGGAAATTCAAAAAATGTAACAGTAGTTTCTAATCTCAGTCAAGATGAAAAAAAAAAAATAATAATGATGCTAAATTTATCAAGAAATACAAAAGAGTATAATGGAGAAGAGAGAGAGAGAAAACTACCGTTGATATAGAGAAGCGGCGTAGTATGTGTATGTCACCGGGGAATAGCTTGGCTCAGTGAACGGTGACAATAAGTGAGCACAATTCCGTTACAATTTACTTTTTTTTTTTTTTTTTTTTTTCCTAAATGAAAGCTTCTAGGCGTTAAATAACCATTTACGAATAGGAAAATGTTAATAAACAAATCGGGGGTGTTGGATAAGCTAGTTAAAAGTAGAAAGATTAAATTAAAATTACGGAAATTTCACCAAATGCCCCCTGAGTTATTTTTTTTTTCACCATATACCCATGCAAATTTTCAAATTCACCGTATACACTTGAGTTTCACAAAAATGTCACCAAATAACGGCGGTTAATTCCGTTAGTCATTAAGGTTAATTATGTCACGTGGCATGCTGCAATTGGTTCTCTTTTAAATAATTAATCAATTAATTTAATTAATTATTTAATTAATATAAAAAATAAAATAAATTAAATTAAACCCACCCCCTCCCCTACCAAAGCAACCCCCTGCCAGCGGCCGCTGGCGTCGGTGGTTCCCCTGCCCCTAGTCGAAACCGGCGCCGGTGGTCCCTATTCGCCGGCGAGGCAAGCCCCCCCACCCTCGACACCCCCTCCCCTACCCCCAGCCCCCTCTCCCTCCGTTTCCCCTCCCCTTAAACCCCCTCCCCAACCCTCGAAAAACACGCCCTCCTTCGCGACCGGCGTCCAAACCCTCTCCCCAGCGCCAGCGAACCTTTTTTGCCCCACTCCCCGCCATCCCTACCCCTTTCCCCCCTAAACGACCACCCAAAAAAACCGAAAAACCCCTTAATCGAAAAAAACCCCAAATCGAAATCTAGGGTTTCGATTTGGGGGTTTTTCGGTTTTTTTTGGGTGGTGGTTTAGGGGGGAAAGGGGTGAGGATGGCGGGGGGTGGGGCGAAAAAGGTTCGCCGGCGCCAAGGAGGGGGTTTGGACGCCGGCCGCAAAGGAGGGGGGGTTTTCGAGGGATGGGAAGGGGGTTTAAAAGGAGGGGAAACGGAGGGAGAAGGGGTAGGGGTGTCGAGGGTGGGGGGGCTGGCCTCGCCGGCGAATAGGGACCACCGGCGTAGGGGGAGGGGTGGGATCTAGCAGCCGCCACCGCGGTCTGACAGGGGCTGGTGGTGGGGGCGTTGGGGTGGGCGGGTCTTGGGTGGTGGGTTTTTTTTATTTTTTAAAGTTTTTTTAATAATTAAGTAATATTACAACAACAAATTAGAGGCTGTCACGTGGCATATTAGTCATTAATGACTAACGGTGTTAACCGCTGTTAGTCATTAAGGGCATTTGGTGACATTTTTTTTAAACTCAGGAGTATTTGGTGAATTTAAAAGTTTTGATGGGTACTTGGTGACATTTTTTTAAAACTCAGGAGTATTTGGTGAATTTAAAAGTTTTGATGGGTATTTGGTGAATAAAAAAATAACTCAGGGGCATTTGGTGAAATTTTCGTTAAAACTAACAATAATTACACCGATCGACACGTGATTTTGTCATACTTTTCCAAATTAATACTACTTTAGGTAAGATTTTTAATGCTTATCCAACGCCCCGGGGGCGCTCGTTAGGTTAGCAAGATCCTTTAAAATATTATCTGACAAAATCACGCGTCGATTGATGTAAATAATGTTCATTTTAATTTAATCTTTCTACTTTTAGCGACCTTATTCAACGCTCTCGGGGTAGCTTTTTCCTTTAATTAATTTTGTGATTTTCCATAGTTAATGTTAGAAGAGACTAAAATTCCCTAAATACGCTACAGTTAATTAAAATTTCCGACGTATTTAGGGAATTTTGTTCTCTTTTACTGCATTTATCTATGGTTAGAGCTCCCCCCCCCCCCCCGGTTCCACGAGATCATGGGATCGATTCTCACCCCACCCTTGTGGCTCTCTAAACACCAAAAAGAAAAAAATGGAAATTGAATATATATATATATATATAGCCCAGGGCCCCCAAATCCAAAACCCAAATACTGATATTTACAGTATTGTATTAATTCAATAAAAAAAATTAAATACTCTTATTGTCAGTTAATGAATTTATACCCTTAATAATCCACCCACATTAATATTCTTCCTAGGAAATAGCTCCATTTTGGGGAAGTTAAATTTCCCAAATTAATTCTCTTAATGTAACCATATTCATTCGTATATTCTTCATTCCCCATCTTTGAAATCAATTTATTTCTATCTTTATATTTGATTTTCTGATTTTTCCTTCCCAAATTAATTCTCTAGAGATGCTTTCCTCCATTAACGTTTTTCTTTGCAATCAGTTTTTAACTGGATTAAAATCAACGATTTTTCCTATAAATTATACTCCGTATTACTAGTATTTCAATTGTTTTTCACATATCAATTTCATTAATCACTTTTTTTGTATTTATTTCCATTATTTTTTCACCTTTTTTATGGGTTTTGACTTCGGACTTCGAAGATGAACTCAGGAACGAGTCTGCCATTATCCTAAAGTAGTAAAGTCATTGGTTAGTTCTTTAATTTTTTTTCCAGAAATTTAAAGTTATTTAATATATGAATTATTTAATTTTACATGAGAAATTTCTGCAATATTAATTCATTCAAATTATAATACTGAATTTGATTTATGAATCATCAATATGTCAAATTAATATTTTTTCAATTAATCCTAATTTTGTTTTTGCGGAAATTTCATGAAATGCCCCTGAGTAATTTTTTTATTCACCAAATACCCATCAAAACTTTCAAATTCACCAAATACTCCTGAGTTTAAAAAAAATTCACCAAATGCCCTTAATGACTAACGGCGGTTAACACCGTTAGTCATTAATGACTAATACACCACGTGGCAGCCTCTAATTGGTTGTTGTAATATAAATAAATTAATTATTAAAAATACTTTTAAAATATAAAAAAAAAACTTAAAAAAAATACCCCCACCACCCCCAAGACCCACCCCTCCCCACCACCAGCCCCTGTTAGACGGCGCTGGCCGCGGCCGCCAGCTCCCAGCCGAAAGCGGCGCCGGTCGCCGGCGAGGCCAGCCCCACCACCCTCGACACCCCAACCCCTACCCCCAACCCCCTCTCCCTCCGTTTCCCCTCCCTAACCCTAAACCCCTTCTCCGGCAACCAACCACCCCGAAACCCCCAATTTCAAACTCCCAAATTCGCAACCCCTGATTCCAAAACCCCAAATTCGCAACCAACATTCCCCGAAACCCGTCACCGGCAGCTAGATTTCATCCTTCATGTCGTCGTCGGTCACCTTAGCCAAAAAATACCACCCCTGAAACCCTAAAACCCCAAAATCGAAACCCTAAAAATCAAATCTAGGGTTTCGATTTTGGGGGGGTTATTTTTTGGGGGCTTCAGTGAGGTGGTTTAGGGGGTGGAGATGGAAGGGGAAGACGCGGTTTAGGTTCGCCTGTACAAAGAGGGAGGTTTGGACGCCGGTGGTGGAGAGGGGAGGGATTTTCGAGGGAGAAGAGGGTGGATTTTTGAGGGAGAAAGGTGGTTGGGTTGTGTCGCCGGTGCAGGGCAGTTGGGCAAGGTCGCCGTCGTGGGGCTTCAGGTTGGTGGTGGCGGCGTGGGGGTAGGCTGATGGTGGCAGTGGCGGTGGTTGTGGGTTGTGGTGGATTAGTTTTTTTTTAAAAAAATATTTAAATTTTTTTATTATATAATTAATTTACTTATTTAATAAGCAACCAATCATAAGCCACCACGTGGCGTAGTTAGCCTTAATGACTAACGGAGTTAACTGCCGTTAGTCAATAAGGGCATTTGGTGATAATTATGTGAAACTCAAGTGTAGATCGTGAATTTGAAAATTGTTATGGGTATATGGTGAATAAAAAAATTACTCAGGGGCATTTGATGAAATAGCCGTTGTTTTTATTATGATAAATGATCATGAATCATCAAATTACGTTAGTTGTTGCTGAATGCTCTTCATGAATTTTTAATAATTTTTTTATATTTAAATTAAATATATATATAAATCTATTATTCAATTGTACTGAATTTTTAATTTGTGCTATTAAAATTTATGATGTTGTAGCCTTGTAGGTCTTGCTCATTCTACATTGTTGAATAAATAGTGCAATCGCCAATCGGGAATGCGGGGACTCAATTATAAATATTTGATGACTTTTGGATTTTTTTGCTCTACTATTAGTCCTTAATAAAATTTCATAGAATTAAATAAAGTATTTCGTAATTTTTTTTAATTTTTGTATACCCAATTTTTTCCGTTAATAAAGCCAATCGTTAGTCAATTAGGGCCCCATTTTTTAATCCGCCCCTAGGCCACCTAAATCTCAGAAACGGGCCTGTATATGTATATATATATATACACACACACACACATAGTTGCTCTGCGTGGACAATATTGTCTAGAATTTTAATAAATTGTGGAGGATGGCATAGTCCTCTCATAATTCTTTCTCCTTACCCATTTTGACACCTTATACTCTCCTTCATCCACCTCATTTCCCACCATCTCTTTCTTCTCTTCCATCCTCTTCATTTTGATGCTTGTGACTGTGTTGTCATCCTGATGTTCGTGATTGTGTTGTCAGGTGTTTTTTTGTTTTGTTTTGTGTTTTTTTTTTAACAAAATGTTGTCATTTTTTCTTGTTAATTACTGGAAACGTTGAGTCTTTGTTGTTTAGTTATATCCTCTTGTCACAAAAGACGAGGAGCTCAATCATTTACCAGATGAGGATTGTTGAGCATCCTCTTCCCCTTAATCCTCAATATATCCCAACATCAAAGAGGATGGGTTCAACTCAACAAACACCCCCATACAAAAGGATATATATCCTCTTTGATATTTATGCTCTTAGGGAATTAATTTTATGGAAGATTGAAAGTCATAAAAAGAAAAATACTTTATACTTCCTCCATTTATATTTACTTGACTAACTCTTCTAAAATATAAATGTCATAAAACTATTATGTGAACCCATTTTTTTTTTTTTTTTGAAGAATTACGTGACCCATATTATATTTAGTAAACTTTTGTCAGATAAATTCTCTAAAAAAAACTTTTAAGTGCATGTAGGCACTACTTTTAAGGGTTAATAGTTTTGTCCCCGTGCAGTGCACGGATTTATAAAGTATGATATAATAATAGTCAATTGAAAAAAAAGTTAATTGAAATTAAATGACTTATGTAACACTTTTTTTTTTCTATTTTTCAATTTGAAATTAATAATGTCTATCCTTTAAAAAAAATTTAATAGATTTTTTTAGAAAAAAAAAAAAAGCATTTTGAAGGAAATTTTTTCATAAAATCATGTCAAGTGTCCCTCTGGTGATTACTTTATTATATAGTAAGTATAGATAAGGTAAATGATATGCTTGTAAAAAAAAAGTACTAAAAAAAAAGCCTAGGTCGATTTGTAGATAGTCTTATTCAAAGGACTTAATGGTGGCTAGTTGGTTTAGATCACAGAGATGCCAATTTTTTAGAGTTGATAATAATCTAACCGAACCTAAATAAACTGAAGCTCATTAATTTGAATCTAATTAGATCGTATTTAATCCGATTCAATTGATTTTTGTCTTATATAATCCCATAAACGATCTATGATATAATTGATTGTATGATGATGTAGATGGATGCTATTTTTTGTCAAATTGTTTTTAAAAATAAAATAAAAGGTAAACCATATCAACGATTCACAATGGTAAATAAAAATGAACTATTGACGATTGTCATTTGTTTCGGTAAAATGGCCACAATTTTAATTGTGGCCACTCAAAAGTATCTCTAAATAC